TATCGCAGTACCCAGACCATGTACCTGTATAAATGTCAAATTCAGACCTCTTGCTATCACTTCTCCTTTTATAAAATTAATGGAAAAGTTACTTTTACTCAACCTTGAACCTTCCTCGAGGAGTTTCAGTGACCCTAAACAGTTCACATATCAACAGAGTAGATGTACTTTGGATGCTGCTGCTGTCCTCTGTCATTGTACTGTTTTAAGTATAAAAATTGGGCACCGTGATATTTCTTTTGTATCTCTTCCCGTGAAACCAGAATAAGTTTCATAACAATCTATTCTGGTATGGCGAAATAGAATTAGTCAACCATATCACACTTAGCAGAGATTTTGTGGGAATAGATAAACATGTAAGCTGACCCTGTTACAAACTAGGAATATTAGATTATTAGCGGAATTAAAAACTACTGTTGAGAAAAAAATCTTTGTCATTTCACAATTACTGTAAAGCTTCCTGAATCAGGAAGTTGAATGTTGTTCAGACGTACGCATCTTTCAATCTCTCCTCATAAAACCCTAACAAGCCGATCGTGAGGTCATTGTATGCATTCACACAAAGCCACTCCCCAAACAACGCCACTTATCTTTGCCGGTTCAGATCTCTTCAGGAAGTCAAAGCCGACTGAGAATGAGTATCGTGTGGCTGCTTGATTATTATTAATGGGAATGTATAAAGCCTTGATTATTTCCCAACTTTATTCGTATTTCTGGTCACATAAACACTTTTACAGGAAGTTCTGAACCTGAGTCCGAATCGTTATGCTCCATAAGGGAACCCTGTACAATTAGGATGTACATGTTAGATAAATTAACTTGATATGACACACAGTATTGATAACTCGATGATGCTTAAAGCACGGTTTATTGCACATAACAATCTCATCGCATTCACACAACTTCATAACTAACTAACTAGCTTTGAATATTTCCCTTTCCTCCTGTTATTAATCGCAATCAAATCCATTCACAAACTGCTGGTCCAGTGGTCACACCTTTGGATGAATACAAGATAACAACTGAGAAACCAGTTTCCTAACCAACATTCTGATTCTTTGTTGACAACCTCGATATCTCTCGCACATTACATGCACGAAATCACTGATATTTTGTCACTAAGAGTTTCCAGCCACTCATCCACACCATCCCGAGTGAACGCCTGCCTTCTACATAAGCTAAATTCGATCGTCGTTCTGACCACTTCCGACATCCTGACATAGCCTCTCGCCGAAGACGACGGCTTGGCCACCTCCAATGATGTGGATTTACTTACACAACCTCATTAGTGGACTCAATTCACAAACCTAAGGCTCTGCAGTCCATCTAAACAAACGCCAAACGAAGTCCATTTATAAGAAACAAATATTTGTCCTAAAACAGACAATCCTGAAATTAGGGAAATACCTAAGTGTACTTTTATTCCACAATCCTGCTTTCCACAGGACTGACACAGGTGGTAATATCTATCATATGACAAAATATCTATCCTGACACACCTCCCGTGTGACATTTTCCTGTACTAATCATGTCGCGAAAATGCAAGATGAAATCCGCCAACACCACATTGATCAAACCAGTTACAATGCTAAGTTTTTGATATAAGTATAAAACTTGGACACTGTGGTAGAGTATAACTCCATTATGCATAAGATTTTATTTTGATAAATCACACAGTGGTGTTATACAGTAATATTAACTGATGCTAAGTTCTTCTCAAGAAATTACAACAATTTATCTTATCCCAAACAATCCTGTAAGTGGGACCTACCAGCAACTAACTGATTACACTACCAACCCTAGATTTTTATTTGAACTCAGTAAGTCACCTTGAAAGTCTGTCGACGTTGTAAATACGTCGACCAGCCGTCTACGCTCCACGTATAAGTTAACGTTCAGTGATGTTGCATTGCTTCTAAAACATACACCAATATTTGTGGAGGACCTGTAGAAGACTATACTTTGTCCACGTCTAGAACGCTTCTATCACCTAAATAAACCAGACGTTGAAGTCAAACCATGTTACCTTGACCAATACGTCCTTGCTAAAATCAAAAAATAAGCACACTGACACTGGATATTAGTAACTATTGGAAAGCAATGGAATTGCCATGAAAATATGGCTAGCAGCATTATGTATACACGAGAAGTACTCAGAATTATGGATGGCCTCAGTCTTCACCAGCTCAGCTGTAGGACTCAACCTACTAACCGGGCGTTGATTTCCTGACAATGACTGAAGTGAAAATTAATAATGCCTATTTATCACTGGATTCATTCGTTTACTGAAGTCTTTCAACACACTAACAACATGATCGTGAATAATTTTCCACCAGTAGACAACATAAGATTTACTCAATATAACAAATGTATATTTTATCAAACAAAAAAAAAACTAAGAGTGGGAACAATTTCAACAGGGGATTCCGATTGAATCCAAACATGAAGAGACGTGAAAATGAATACTGCGAATATATAATACAATACAATACTATTAAGAATATTAATAATCTATAAAGTGAAAAACGGAAATTGTGATGACAAATACAACCCGCTTTTTCAGTACCATTCAAAGTTTAATAGTCAGTTTACAGAATGACTTCGAATCCATCCGAGAGCGATCTGAAATTCGACGGCCAATTATTATTGGTGCGTTACGAAGTGTGTGTGTGTGTGTGTTTGATCAATTCCAAAAACAGAATGCACGAAAGTTAAATTATCATTGGGTTTTCCCGTCGAAAGACACAAAAGAAACCATAGTAAATCATCGTTACAAATAAATACACGGACACACTAAGCTATAATAAAGCGATCAACTTTAAAAATCAATACAAAGGGCTTTATAAAAAAATACCTTTACAATGATCACTGCGAAAATCACTTTCATACTCATATACCAGTCTTATTTCCTAAAATATAGCAAATGTTTGACACCGTGAGTTTATTGTCAACGTTCACAAACTTATCAAAGGGTGGACACATGATCAATCCAACCTCAATCGGAGTCCCATGACTACCTGGCCTTCTGGAATGTGCTCATCTTGAAGTGACGCAAACATCAGATGGTCATTACGCACGTTTCAGAGGAGCTCATCAGAGATGTACTATGTTTTACACAAACTGATCGGTTCAAATAACGCGAATTCTAAACATCTCATAAAACAACGGAAGTCACAAATACCGCCGACAGTGCATATATATTGGTGCTGAGAGTTACTGATGTACATAGGAAATCATTACCTGCTGCTCCTCATCCACTCAACACCTTTCAGGTCTTCATCTGTGGACAGATAGCGTCCTAATGCAAAAAGAAAACAAACGGCTGCCAACGGACTTTACTTCGGTATCATGAAACCTCAACGAAAAGAAACCTGTTGAACCTGAACAAGTAAACTTATGTGAATCATAAAAAGAAATTTCACATGTGAGTTATTTTGCACTATTTCCATTGATTGAGCTTCTTGCTGACATGTTGCTTACCACCATAGCACGACCAACATACAAGAATAGTCAGCCTATGATTTCCTTATTCGGAAATAGGAAAAACACACTGTGTTACTTGTTGTACAGTGTGCGGATGTGTATGCGAGAAACTGGAATCACCACTATTATTCTATGAGGCGTGCTATTGACTTAGATTGACTTCCGATCATAATATCATTTAGGATTTCGGTCACTAAAGTGTTGTCCTCTTGGAAGAATCAATAGAAATGACACTTTGAATTACGTCCAAATCACCACCCGCTTGATCTGAAGTTCACAGTACAACTAAACGGACAGAAAATTGAACACCCTACTCGAAAGGAGTCATCTACACAACAATGAGGATATTGATGATGCACCGAATACAAATGATACTACACTTCAACAAAGAACAATCTTGGATGTATTAAGGTGCTAGATTGCCTTCAATATATGTATATATATATGCTGGCTGGAAAGGAAGGAAGCTTTAGAAAAATGAAATTCTCAAGAATCGAATAAAGTCATATACAGTTTTTTGTTCAGCGAAGAAATTTCTTTTCAACGACTTCATTTTGAAGCTGTACAGTCGTATTTATATTACAGAAAATGTTATTAAGTGGAACTAAATAATTGCTCAGTCAATACACATATATGTGATGAAAGGCGAACGTAGAACTGCGAAGTCGTTTATCTGTGATCACCTGTTAGAGTCAGGTCATATTAGATGGTTGGAGGCAATTGGCAGGAAGCCTTGGACCTAGGTTTCGTGCTAGTTGGCACTCTTCAGGTCAGGTCAGGTCATTTAGCCCCACGTGATTCATCTTTCAAAGTTATCTACATGGCAAAATCGAATCGATCCAAAAGTTGACGTTTTCTTCACTTATGCATAGCCGAAGCTTTAGCTGCACATGAACAGAAACCTAAATTATGTGTTCAAAAACGTTTTGTCAAACCCCTTTCTTTACCTTGGTCATAGTAATGTTCTTCCTAGTTTTCACTTTATTTTATTTTACCACTTGAATTTTTTCCACTTCACTTCACATCTTCATTCTTATCGTAATTGTACTCTCAAATTTTTAAAATTTTTAGACAACACTTGACATTTTTAAAACATTTTTGATTCCAATTCACTTATAAAACAATCTTCAATAATTTTGTAATTTATCCACTTCAACTCTACCCCTTATAACATTTTAATTATCGTTATTCTTATCACATATATGTATATTGACTGAGCAATTATTTAGTGCCACTTAATAACCTTTTCTGTAATATAAATACGACTGTACAACTTGAAAATGAAGTCGCTGAAAAGAAATTTCTTCGCTGAACAAAAAACTGTGTTTTTACTTGTGAATAAATGGGTATTTTTCGTGATTTAAAAGTCATATACTAAAAGAAATCAGTTAATCGAAACACTGTTTATGGTGTGTAACTTACATGAAAACGAAACACATTCATAAATATCAAACAACAATGATTAACTTTCAGCACGATTCTGTTACATTGTACAAGTTCATGTTAACTTTGTGCGTTCAATTCAATTTCCTCTAAAATTAGAAAAAGCAATTAGTAGACAGATATCTATAGACGACATGTAAGGGATCTTCAACCCGTTAGGCAGATAGACGGTTATCGACGTTAAACAGTCAAAATTCCATTCTTAATTTATAAGAATGAAAACAAGGGATCTATCTCAAAGGCTTGTCATAGAATACACTTGATGTCATCTACAACAGTATTAACATAAAATAATGTAGTCGCATAATAATAGTGATTCATACTACACAGACGTCCACAAAACATATATCTCAACCATTTAAGTGGATTAAATGTCACAACACTTCAAGATCATTTCTTCTCCCCACCACCACCTACTAATAATACTACTACTAGTACTACTACTCCAAGTCTATCCGAATTCTCATAAACCATGGCATGGAATCCACGAAATGTACACTATACTAACGCACCATGTATGAGAAAGGAAAATGTATGTCAAGTTGATGATTCTATGTCACTATGATCAGTCTCTATTTGAATACATCTTCCATCTAACTCCTCAATTTTATGAATATATACATATATTGACTTATCAGTTTATTTCGCAAACTTTCAACCAACCAAAGTAATACAAAAGTATTTTTACTCAATGAAACCAGATTCTAGAGTAAACATGTTCACATCTCTGAAGGTAACACAACACGATAGTGACGCGACACGAAAATAATTCAAAGTTGAGGATGAAATATTAAAATGTCAGTCATTTTATCGACAACTCTCCCTTGTTGCACATCAATAAATTGAGTTGAAAAACAAACAGTCCATTAAGTACATTAATAAATCTCAGAGGAGCACAACGACGATATGTTGTGTAAGCAAAGCACTGTCAATAGATGAATGAAAACAAAGCAAGTCACATAGGCAGACAGTTTACTGCATTAAACGAGAGAATTATACGTTTCGGACGTCTTTAATCATGCACCACATTCAAAATCCTATTAGTAATTGGTGGAAATTAAACTATCGCACACTATTCAGCTTGTATGATAACAATCTCTACACTTCCCTCACACATACATCACCACACCACACCACACCACACAATCAACGGAGTTGAATGCTGATTTCAGGTCAAGAAATGTAGCGATTCTCAGACACCAGTAAGTCACCTTCATTTACAACTCAGGCCAGAAAACTACCTAAGCTCTCCACGCATTTGATGCTTTTCAGACTCAAACAGATTCGGAATGACCATGAATCTTGAACGGTATATTAGTCAAGTCAGTCAGCCTATGGTCTTATCAAAACAGAATTGGTCCCTTTCTTTCTAAATTTACAAGGTCACTAATGATGCGCACCAGGCTGATGCAGTTACCGTTGATTTCCATACACTAAACAAGTTTCGTTATTCTGACCGAAATAATTCCAGACTTCAAGTCCTAAATAAGGCCAATCTGTTTTACATCAAAATTCACAACTCCAGAAGAAACCGAAAGACTGGTGCTCACACCCCATACAAACCGGAGTTGAATGGTAGCCAATCGTACTGCAACTCATGGCCATCGAAACTACTCCTCCTCAAGCTGCCTGTTCATCTTGGAGACCCTTTAACCTACCAGAATCTCTCGGAAACTCGTCTTCTTACTAAGTCTACATAGCAGACAGTGACCACATATTGCTCACACAGTCTCCACTTCCTTCCTTCTCGTCATCTACCGTTACTCAAAGACAGACATTACAAAACGAAAACTTTGAGTCAGCTCATCAGGTAGAACGAGAAGTCAATATAAGAAATTATATGCTCGTACCACTAAGTAAAAAAATTCTACAATACCGTACTTAGCCCGTATTTTATGTGATGAAGACACTGTTAGACGTGAAACATATAAGTTACTATGTAATTAGCATAGTGAATCGACCCTTTCATTGTTCATCTTTCTGTAATTCTATGGTGTCACCCTTTCTATCGTTTAATTATAACTTTGCTATTTTTATTTTAGTTGTTATTACTATTGTTACTATAATTTTATATTTTTCTCCTTATCCTCTACTGTAATTGCTATATAGCTCCTATAAAAACGTTTTGTTATCATTATTATGTATTAATTATTCCGTTTATCTACTTTTTTTGTTTGTTGTTGTCGTTTTTGAGTAAATTAGATGCAATACAGTACTGAATGCTGAAAATTCCTTGCTGTATCATTAATACTGTTTTTGGAATAAAGCAAAAATTATTATTATTATTATTAAGTTTCACACAGTTCTCACTCCTTTTCATGTTCAGCCGGAATCAGTCACACATCCAACAGTCTCAATGAAACTTCTAAAATCTTTAGAGTGCAGGACTTCAACTGTTGGTATCACTGTTTCCACAGTTGCAGTCGACAGGAGATAATCACATGTTTCATCAAGATGACTCCCGCTGCCGCTAGTGTCTAGTGACTTTATTCAACCTTGAGAAATCAAGCTCAAGTGTGAAAGCTGTGATAGGACGGTTAAAATTCGAGTTCGAAAATCAACAGCTAGTTCAGAACCTCTAAACAGATACGAATATGCTTCAGTCGATAGTATAATAAAATAATCACTTTGTTTACAAACAACAGAGAAGAGATGAATGACAAAAGTTGAGGACGTAACAACGGACAAGAGCTTACCCTGAGCCTGTTACATAGCTGTGTAGTTGAAGGATGTTTGGTCCGTGGTTTATTGTCAAGGTCATCACTTTCCAGGAAGGGGGAAATGGGCCTGGTAACAGAACAAGTGTTTCGATGTTGTTGAACGTATGCAAACTTTTTGGCTATGCGCAAACCACTTGTTCTGATACTTGCTGGCGATATTGTTTGTTGTGAAATTTCAACAGTGATATTTGCAGTTGAATTCATTATGTTGCTATTGAGTTGCCCCCTCTTTGATGATTTGGATGAAGGTTGACTAGTTTGTGAGGACCGTTGAATAGATTTCCCACGAAAGACATACGGTCTATTGAACCATTCTTTATTTGGTTTACAAGTTTCTTCACAATCTTTCATCATAGAAGAATGATTAAAGTTAGCAGTGTTAACATGTATACTGTGTTTTGCTTTGCATGAAAATCAGAATTTCCACTGAGTGACGATTTGCAAGATAGAAGCGTTTCAAAATAATAATAATAATTAGTAAAATAATTCTTTCAACTACAGGCGGCACAGATGAGGATGTTATATCCAGTGAAGATAGCGATAACAAGACAGGAGTGTACTCATCGGAAATCAGATTTATGGGTCTTAACATAAGCAACAACATGAAAATTTTTAACGCTAATGTGTAATTACTGTTTATTTGTTTGAGAGATTTGATGAAAGTGGTTTTTTGTTTCCAAACGACCTGGTACGGATGAGGTTGGGTAGGCATTGGTCTTTCCCTCGAAATGTATTCTCTCATCTGACCAGGAGTTCACAGTCCCTGCCAGGAAAGTATTATTCACTTTCCTTCACACTGCGTAGATGTTACTAACATAAGTGAAAGGGAAAATGCGAACGTGTTGTGCTTACAACCGAACAGGTGGAAATCCAGGTCTATCTAGTAGGGCTGGGAAACTTTGATTCCAAACCTACGGTGCATATGTGCTCCAGAATCCGCATGGATCAAATGGAGTATAAACCTGTTTCAGTCATTATCAACCATGGGAATGCAGCTCCACTGTCTTGTTGATCAGAATTAAAGTCAAACGCTTAGGTGTGGCCCCTTGAAATAATCACCTGTTGCCGTCTGGGCGCCTGAGCAGTATCTTATTCGTAGCACAAACAATCAGTCGATAATTTATGACAGATTGTAACTGGGCAGTTACTGCTATAAACTACAATCATATTTCTAGCAACTTGCTATTCTTTGATTTTAATTTTATACATAAACCATCTTTGAGTTTATTTCCACTGTATTCACTATCTTTGGTGTCTTCATTCTCGTCAGCCTTTCACTGTGTGATTTATAAAAATAAAATCTTATCCATAATGGAGTTATACTCTAACACAGTGCCTAAGTTTTACACTTATATCAAGCCCTTCACCATTGTTTGATTTCTCGGCACTTCTGTACCCTTTAGATTTACCAGTGAGTAGCCTTCAAAATGCAGATGCAAATTCTAACACGGATATCCTGAAACAGCGTGTCGCGTTCAAGTTTGCCAACTTCAATGTTTGCACACTGATGCAAACCAGACAACATACAGGTCTTTTTAGCACATTAGAAATCCTCACCATGGATGTCAGCTGCATTCCGGAGACCTCTACTCAATATCCCAGTGAAGTGTTTTAAGTATCTCTATCTGGAAGTTAAAATGGTGTGTACAACCTGAGCTTATCTGGGTCAGTGTGAAAATGACATCCAGCGAAGATGGTATCGGTGTCGCACTTAGCGATAGGACAGAGGTTGCACTACTGGATTGGATCTCCATTAACAGTTATCTTTGTGCTTTGAGGCTTGAAGGTTATACGAAAGTAAGAAGCGATCGACTAGAATGGCGGTGCCTATTTGTTATGTCTTCCTATGGGCCGACGGATTACAACCCGGAAACAATTAAAGGTGCGTTTTACTACCAATTAAGCGAGCTTCTAAGACAAGATATCGTAGCGCTTTTTTGTGACTTGAATACACAAGTCTATTCTTAGAGGAGAGTCATCTAGGTGGTCAGCGGGCTCTATATGTTCACAGATAATATGATGGGGACGGTCTTCTGCTGCTTTGAGCAGATCACAACCTATTTCTAGCCGGTAACAACTTGCGGTACAGCCGTCGCCGTACCGCTACCTTGCATCTTACCTCTACCAACCAAGTCTGAACTCAGACTGTTCACACTGATGCCAGTTTCCAATGGCATAGATTTATACATGACTACCGCTGCTTCTGGAGCACATGCCTGGAATCCCATCATGCTTTAGTGTGCCAGATTCTGATTAGGTGATGTTTATAAATGACGTCTTCTAGATGCACCCGTTACCTTTGCGAAGTGCCGGACAGTTGAACTCATGGTTAGTTAGCAACGCCCCATATAGTATAGATTAAGATTAGCTACACCTGCAAGACGTTCAGAAAGTGACAAGTGAAGCCACTTGAGGATTAAAAGAATGCTCCGATAAAAGCCACTGGGTTTCTGCGAGTTCCCTGCAACTTCTGGATGAGTGCCGGTCGATTCTGGAAGACAGCCAGTATAACAGCATACAAAAGGCACTTACGCGTAAGCTCGAACAGAGTTTACGTAAGGACATCAAAGCCTTGGTGGTCAGAATGTGTGTGTGAGATGGAACCGGAGGCTGCATCTGGCAACAGCTGGAAGCCATTCTAGCTCATCAGAGCCACCGGTAGGTAGACGGTCTATAGGGCAGGTGGTACACCAGTTACCAAGCGGAAAAGATGCATAGAACACTGGACAGAGCACTGCGAAAGGTAGTTCAGTTAGCAATAGCACCAGCATCCAACATCACTAACTATAATGCCTCAAGGTCGGCCAGTACCGACTAACCAAACAGAGCGGAGGTCCAAAAGGAACTCCAAGTGTTGAAACGCCTGATAGACAACCACACAACCTACTGCCGTCTCTTTTTAAAGATGGTGGAGATATTTTTGTAAGGAAAATATGGGAAAATGAGTGTTCCAACAATGTCAAATAAAGCCATTATCGTGCCCATCTTTGAAAAGGCCGATGTAATACGTGTAACAATCATAAAGGTATTGGCTTGCTGTCTGTCTTGACTGAAATGTTGGCTCCTGTCTTGCTTAGCAAGTTGCATGAAACATGTGAGGAACTGATTCACGAAGATCAGGCTGAGTTTCGGTCAAGCAATGTTCACGTGTCCACCCTTCGCCACGCATATCTCAGGCCAACAATCGTTATGTTTCGTGATACAAAGGCTGCCATGAATTCTTTGGATAGAACTGCTCTCTGGAACTGTATGTTAGAGAGAGGTGTACCTAAAAAGCTTGTTAACACCCTTAAAGCTTTATACGAAAACACCTCAGATAGAGTGAGGGCAAACAACGAGCTATCATCATTGTGCCCAACTTTGCCAGCAATGACATTCTGGAGTCAGCTCTGAAGGATGTGCGTGGTGGTGCCGGTCAGATTCTTGGAGAAGGACTTTTCGACCTCGAGTATGCAGACGATGTTATTTTACTCTGCGTTAACACAAAGGCATGGCATCATCGTGAGTAAGTCTGATGTTTAGCAATGTGTGTTTGAACACGATGGTTACCATTCATTGAGTGTTGTCATCTAGAAACACCGACTTCGGTCATACTAAAGACTTCCATACCGCTGTCGGTTCGTTAGTCCTGGGATTGGATTGAAAAAGTGGAGACGCGGCCGGCCTACGATGGGGCACAGTAGGATGCAGGGTATTTGTGTTAGGTTAGAATCAGTTGGTACATTACGACCACCTGGTTGGAATCCGAGAGACGATTTCAATCGGTGGTTGGAAACTTGATCAGATATGACCAAGAATTGCAATCAATGGCGAACATCCTGCAATTTCTTATCTCCCCTTTCTGAGAGCAACATGAAGTGATTAGTGCTGAATGATCCTGACCAGTATGTTTGCTTGCTTTCGGGGTGATGTCCCTCATTCTCCCTCTTCTTATTTCCCTTATATACTGTTGGAGTATTATCGTTGTTTAGCGCATCTTTGAGTGTCTATATTTTAACAAGTTTGCATTTTAAATAAAATAAGTAGACTTGGTACTTGCGTCACTACAATTATTCCCTAAGGCCTGTTGCAGACCTCTCATCAACAGAAAATACCTCCCAAGAGACTTGTCATGTACCAGGCTACGAATCAAATCTAGTGCGAGGGCTGAAGATAATATCCAGTTACCCAAGATGAAGTTGTCCCATTCAGCCAATAATAATAATAATCGACTTAAAAAATACTGACCACAAATTTATTTAATAGGATTTAGGTGACGCGTTTCCTATTATATACTAGGACAACATATTCAGCATACGCAAAGTCATGTCGTCTCTCTACAGACAGTAGATTTACGCTATTATTGCCACCCCATCAACTTGTCCCCAGAACGTCACAGATACAAATAAGAATTGGATAAGCCTGTCTAGTTGCAGCTCTCGTTAAAAACAGTGTAAACAGGTGTTCATATGCCTCTACTTTATCTGAGGTATATATTTTTTAATATGAATAGCGCTAAAAATATTCACAAACATTTGAAAGACATGTCACTGACATATTTATGAAAGAACAGTCTTGAACTGCTAATCGCAGACAGAATTACTGCGAAGAAATACGACAACAAGTGGTCTGCAGTACAAGTAACTGCCTTCCAACACTTTACACGAGGTGAAAACATCACCATTGTGTATCTACATCATGAAAAAAACTCAGCCTGTTAGTATTTTGGATGAGACTGGTAACTGAAAAATGCCTGAATGACTGAGGCAAGTGGGTATCAAAACTTGATAACTGTTGAAAAAGTAACTACTCGTAAAATCCTTGAATGAATATTTGATGAAAGAGACACAAAAATGACAACAAATCAAAAATCCTACCTAATCAGAGTATGTTAAAATGATAATTAAGAGAAAAATCCGTAAGATTGATAACACTACAAAGGTTAGATGTCAATATCATGATTAATTAGAATGGTCTTCATTGAATTGAAACGAATCAGGTTTGATTTGTCAATACAATATCAGTAAAACTACCTAAAAACACATAAACACAATTATCTTGTATCTATTACTTACAATCTACTAACCTACAAGTATCAAATTTAGTTGAATCTACTTCGAAATGTAAATTAAGGCTTTCATCCAATGTATGTGCTTTTGGTATATGCATGTAAGTTGGAAGATATATATATACATCTATAAAAGCAACTGGCTTTAAAATGAATGGGAAGAAGAAAGTGTAATAAAGCTTAGAAGCGGTTTTATAAACCGACTTACCATAATTGCATATAAATTTAATAAAATCAGACACTGAAACAGGTGGACCTGTACGATCTTGCCAAAGTTCTGATGGAAGAGTATCATGTGATGATTTCAAAAACATTTGAAAATCCCGATGACAATCACCATTACTAACGCATTTCGATGCACTATCGTTAAGCTCTACAGCAAGAAAAAATAACACATGGAAATGTGAGTATTTTAAGCATTTAAATTGCACACGCAATTACGAATACAAAGATATATACGATATAGTGCGTTTCTGACGACAAGTCATGGAAGTATTCCAGTACAATATTTAAGGAAATTCAAAATAGTGTGTTTCTGTTGTCGCGTAAAGGTCTTGGTAAACGAATAGAGAGAGCACTGAAATAAAATACTGATGACACTATAATAGAGTAATTTTATTGAAATAATAGAGACACTTTGTGGCTCAGGTGGATGATTTTGACTGGCGAAAAATAAAGAACTCTTCATGACACGTGAAATTGCCAAAATAATTTTATTTGATTCGACGCTCAGTTATACATGATTATCTTATAATGGCGTTTCAAGAATAGTCTATTGCTCATAAACTATAACAAGCAACTCAGATAACTTCCAGATTTCGTATGCTTTGATTTTATAGGCGAGAATATTCTCTATATTTTAGCATCCATGCTGCGCCATTCCTACTGCGCATGTTTAGCGGAGATTCGATTAATAGAGATTCAACGATTTACCTCTCCCTTCAACTAACTACATAACTTTTTAGAACTGCCCCACCGTTTGACCCAATTGTGTGATCGTGTTAATGCAAGCATTGCAAACACCTGCAACAGGAATGACAGTGTCAGTACAAAGAGATGTGGGACTTATTATTACCCATAAATTCAAAGGATAAGAAATCTGAAAGTTATGTGAGCAGCTTAATATGATTATGAGCAATAAATTATCCTCGAAACGTCGCAAGTAAATAACACTGCATCATTGCAAGCTTTATCAGATAAAATTACCCCCACTTGTGGAATCATATCCTACCACAGTGACCATATATTCTGACAATAACAGTAAGAAGAAGAATCTACAAATCAACTTACTCAAGACTTCAGTGCAATGAGGATGAGATGTTGAAAAATTGGTGGTTGCATTTACAGTCTTTAAACTGATGACGTGAGCCAAACAAAAAATGATGGTATGTATCAAGAACATATGCGGGAACACTTAAACTGAAAATTCTCATCCGCATATAGGCAATATTCTAAGATAGAAGAATCCCAAAATAAACTTCAGAGTTAAACACTTTGGATTAGTTTGCTCGAAAAAATGTTTTATCGTTGTCAAGAGTATATCAGAGTTAACAGACAATTAGTAGCTTAAAACACAGGGGAAACATATGGAAACTCATGAAGGTAGTAACAAACTAAAAGCAAACTTAGCCAGTGGCTGGCTGGATTCAACATAGAACTTGGCACCAAAGTGCAGCAGTTCGAGTTGCCACGTTCCAAATAGCACACAAAGGTAGACAAGAAAATGAGTGAAGAGAATCAATAGAGTTTTGACAAGTATAAGAGGGAAACAGAATGAGTAATGGTAGAAAGGAATATGAAAGATTACAGAGACTGAATACATCTGCGTAAGCCATTGACAACGATTTTGAGCCATGTCACCTATTGTCTCCAGCCATTGATTCTTAGAGTCCCGAGGGCCCCAACCCGGAAGTCTGCATCTCCCTACCTGATTCAGTTTAACTGTCAAGGATTTCATGGATTGATGCCATGTTTTTGTTTGGCCACCACTTACTCTTTTCCAACCTGCACCTATATCAGCTAGTAATGCCCGTCGGGGGAGACGATGGTTAGGCATGCGCAGCACGTGACCTAACCATCTCAATCTATGTAACTTCATAGCCTCTTCGATTGATTTTCCCTCTTTGCCCAACACTCTACGCCTAACGTCAACATTACTTACTTTATTATACCACCTAACGCGAGAAAGAGATCGTAAACATCTGTGGTCAAAAACAGACAATCTCTTCATGTCTTCCGCTCTCAATGGCCACGTCTCACCGCCATAGAGAAGGACGGAGCGAACTGCTGAGCAGTACACACGTCCCTTGGTTGATAGCCGGATGTCACGCCTACGCCAGAGACGGTGTAAGTTAGCGAAAGCAGCCCGAGCTTTCTGGATCCGTGCTGTAATTTCGTCACCAATCAATCCGTTGGTGCTGATACAACTTCCCAAATAGGTGAAGTGGTCAACATGTTCTATCACTTCACTCCCTATCACTAAGCTTGGAGTTGACGTAGTCCAGTCCTGTAGCAGCATCTTACATTTTACAGGGGCGAATCGCATGCCAAACATACGAAGATTGCTGCTCAAGGTGTTCAGAAGACTCTGCATTTTGTCAGCATCCTCCCCTAACAGGACTATGTCGTCTGCATATTCTAAGTCTATAAGACTATCCCCTGGTAACAAGTCGATTCCTAAGTCGTTAAGTTCAGTTAAGGATACTTCCATTAGCATATCTATGATGAAGTTAAACAGAAAAGGGGAAAGTGGACATCCTTGACGGACACCACTGGTTGTTAACAATTCAGATGACAATTCCCCATAAGCCCTTACACGGCTACGTGAGTTTGAGTAGAGTGCCTTGATTAGTGCAATGTACTTTCTTGGCACTCCCTTCATAGTCAAACATTGCCATAGTACCTCTCGATCCACGGAGTCGAAGTCCGCCTTCAAGTCAAGAAATATGGCAATTGTTGGACGCCTAAAAGTGTGCCTATGTTCTAGGATCTGTCGGAGAGTGAGGATATGATCTATGCACCCTCTACCTGGCCTAAAGCCCGCTTGATTTTCCCTCGTTTGTTCCTCCCGAGTTCGGCTTAGTCTGTTCATGATTACTGAGCCTAGGATTTTAGAGACTATGTTCGTTAGGCTGATTCCTCTATGATTATCACATGAGGACTTGTCTCCCTTCTTGAATACTGGTATGATAAGTGACTTACCCCAGTCTGATGGAACCGTCTCTGATTCCCAGACGTTACCTAGTACCTTATTTAAACTATATACTAGTATGTCACCCCCATATTTAAACACCTCCGGAATAATTCCGTCGGGTCCTGCCGCTTTGCCTCGTTTCAAATTACAGATAGCCTTGGTGACCTCACTTACAGACGGCGGGCCAGTGTCTATGTCCCATTCGGGTGTGTGCTGGATGGCAGGGAGGCTCAGTGTGGCTGAAGGGAAGTTAAAACTTAGCCACACATGCATATAAACAAAAACATGAAAGGCAAGAGAACACAGCTTATATACAGCTGGACCAATAAGCAAAAGAATAGGCTGACTGACATGAAAGAATTGTTAAACAAAAACATGATGTTTCAAAAACCATGAAATTAACTGTGAAAAAGAAGAGATTGGAGTAGAACCACACAAAACAGCCAAATTTACGCTGAACTTTTCAAAAATGATCTCTATCTTAAAAACATAATTCATCAGAAGCGACATGTAGAGTTCAAATCACAGTATCACAGATAAAATTTTCTTGTAGGGTAATAAGATAGATTACGTCCATTGCAAGTGTAGTGATTGAACGAACTTCTTCTGTATGCAGAGTTCAGGACTTAGCAAGTGAATCACCATTGCTTCTGCAGTTTGAAGAAGTCTGATTCGTACACCTTTAGGATAACTACTTCGTATTCTGTAGACGATTTTGAAGTTTGTTTGGTGTGTAGCGTGGTCTCCGGAATCTATCAGATGTTCTGAGATAGAGCCGAGGGGGTATCGTCTTCCCCCTTTGCAAAACGATGCTGGTAAGTTTTGGATATGATAGAGAAGATTTGTAGCTCAGGTGGATGATTTTGATGTGGTTGTGTTCTCTGATGATATCAAATGATATGATATCATATCCAAATCTTACGAGCGGGAAAGGCTTCTCTCTGTTCGAAAGTGGGAAGACTTCGCCAAAAGGCAAGGATCCACCAGAGAACAATTATTGTTTCTCCACGAATGCCTTCGTCATCAAATCCTACCGACCAGTGTAAGATAGCAACCACCAGTCAACTGCCCAATGGGATGGAAATTGGCCGAACAATGTGGAAGGCGAATGGTCAAATTAATGATTACAGACGCACATTATCGGATCAAGAAATATCAACAAATAATAGATGTCCAAAAAGAAAAACTAAAAAAAACCCTCAATCAGGAACACCTGTCAACGCTGATCACCGCAATTACATTGTCAAGTAGAAAACACAGAGAACAAAGACGAAGAGTCCTCAAAACCAAGCTAGCCAAGATTAGAAAACAACAACCAGACAATACACCTATAGACTGCGTAGTCAACCTATCAAAACAACCACTATCAAAAATGGAACAACAACTACTACAAAAAGGATTAAACTACAACACCGGAGATGCCTCGAAAACTGATTTCTTCGCTGCCCTTGAATCATTACTCAAATCATCAAACTTAAAGGAGGAAACACAGGAAGAGATACGCCAAACAATTGTACCAATGGTAAAACAGAAAAAACAACACACACAACTCAACTCTCAAGAACTAAAGGCCCTCAAAAAGCTGAAAAATAGGAAGGACATCGTCATTCTACCAGCCGACAAAGGAAGAACAACAGTAATCATGGACAGAGAAGAGTACACCAAGAAAGCTGAAGAACTACTCAAAGACGAGGATGTGTATCAACAACTCCCAACAAACCCCATACAAACACTGGACAACCGCATCCAAAGGACCTTAAACAAGCTTACCAAAACTGGACAAATCACAAAACAAGACCAATGGCGAATGAAATCCAGTGGACCAGTCCTACCCCGATTCTACGGCAGACCCAAAATACACAAGCCAAATATCCCGTTACGACCAATTGTATCACTACCAGGAACTCCAACATACAATTTATCCAAAGAATTATACAGAAAACTAAAACACCTAACGGAATCTTGTGATCACTCCATCAACTCTGCTATCCAATTCCTAGAGAAAATCAGAGGCATCCAAATAGATGAACAAGAGATAATGATATCCTTCGACGTCACAGCATTGTATACCTCAATCGGACAAAAACTAGCAAAAGAAACCATGGAGCAATTACTTAGCAACGACGAACACCTTCCACAAAAACCAAAAATGCAACACACAAGTTGGACGGAATGCCTAA